TGTTTTTGGGTGAGTTTAAGTTTGCACTGAGGTTTTAGTGGAGAATTAGCCAAGCGGTTTGGTTTCTTTTGATTATTTGTAACCTATTTTGCTCTGCCTACTTTCTCTTATTACCACTTAAATCCTACTGCTTCGACTTAATAAAACCATTTTTATTTTCTATCAAACCCAGTGTAAGCGATTGTTCCCGGGGGGGGGCAACCAATGTGCACATCCCCCCTTCCATTGCTAAAGGGGGCCTACGTAATTCTTTGGGGTTTGATCCCATCTGGGGAGTGCTCTCTCAGGAGGCTGGGCCCTAAACTGCACTCTCCTCAGACCTGGAGTGGTTCAGTGTCTGTACTGCTTCTCGGTGGGGGCAGGGCCCGACCCCCTGAGGGGTCGTCTGTGACTGCCCCCTGTCACACCGGGAATTGGACTGTTTACAAGAACATGGCCCGGGAGGGGGCGGAGAAAGAAGGAATGTGGAAGGGAGAGGCACAGAGAGGAGGGATGTGATACTGAGAGTGGCCTCTGGGGGCAGCTGCTGCTCCAGGAGAGGGGCCAGAAGAGCTGGGGCGCCACGATCTTGCCTGCTGGGACACCCTAAGGAGCCCCCCACCCCACCCCACCCCAAAGCTATAACCCAGGCCCCCCTCCTGTGGAGACACAACTAGTTAAAATCACAAAACTGAGCATTTACTGCTACCCTTTGTTTCCTGTGTTATAACCAGTTATCAGTCCATGAGAGAACCTTCCCACTTATCCCATGGCAACTTACTTTAGTTGAGAGACTTTGGTGAGGGACCATTTCAAAGATTTTCTGGAAATCTATGTACATTATAGCCCCTGGATTGCTCCCTATTCACTTGCTTGTTGCCCCCCTCAAAGAACTCTGGTGAAACATGATTTCCCTTTTACGGAAACCATGTTGACTTTTCCCCAACAAATTATGTTCATCTGTGTGTTTGACAATTCTGTTCTTTACTATAGTTTCTTTACTATAGTTGCCCGGCCTGGATGTTAGACTTACTGGTCTGTAATTGCCAGGATCCACTCTGGTGCCCTTTTTAAAGATTGGCATCCCATTAAGTGTCCTCCAGTCATTTTGTGCAGAAGATGATTTAAAGGAAGCACATTTAGTAGTTCCTCAGTTTCACATCTGGGTTCTTTCAGAATTCTTGGATGAATGCCGTCTGGTCCTGGTGACTTGTTCAATGTATCAATTTGTTCCAAAATCTCCTCCAAAGACGGTTCCTGGGAGTTGTCACCTTAAAAAGAATGGTTAAGGTTTGGGAATCTCCCTCACATCTTCAGCCGTGATACGAAGAAGTCATTTAGTTTCTCTGAAATGACTTATCGACCTAGAGTTTGGCTATTACTTTTAGAGGTTTTGGCTAGCTGTTCCTTAAATTCCTTTTTGGCCTTTCTAATTATATTTTTACACTTAATTTGACAGAGTTTATTCTCCTTTCCATATTCCTCACCAGGGTTTAATTTTTCATTTTTTAATCGATGCCTTTTCATCTCTCATTGTTTTTGTTACTTGGTTGTTAAGCTACGGTTGCACTTTTTCGGTTCTCTTACATTGTGTTTTAGTTTACATTTAAGCTGACCCTCTATGATAGTGTCTTTGTAAAGTTGCCATGCAGCTTGCAGGGTTTTCACTTTTTGGCACCGCACCTTTTAATTTCTGTTTAATTAGCCTCCTCGTCTTGTGTAGTTCCCCTTTCTGAAATTAAATGCTACAGAGTTGGGCTGCGGGGGTGTTTCTTCCCCCACAGGAATGCTACATATTATTATATTACAGTTACGATTTCCCAGCAGTCCAGATATATTCACCTCGCGCACCAGATCCTGTGCTTCCCATAGGACTAAATCTAGAATTGCCTCTCCTCTTGGGGAAGGCGGAAGGAAAGGACGTGCTGGGAGCGGGCTCCTTACAGCCCAGTGGGAGAGGGCTGATGAAGGACAGTGTTCTTCCCAGGCTGGAAGGGGAAAGTGCCAAAGCAGCATTATGGAGGAAAGGCGAGACAGAGGTCGCCTCTTTTCTCCAGCTCTGCTCCCACGTGGAACCCCCGACTCACAAAACTCATTAGGTGGCAATGTTCAGACATCCTCTCCCCTCGTGGAACGAGGTGTACCAGTAGTTAGAATTAGAGAGCCTAATTTGAACTACCTACTCCGTGACGCGTGTAGCCACGGGCACGGAGTCCGCACTAATGGGGATTTAAAAATGGCAGCGCCCAGCAAGATGCAAATGAAGCCCGGGATATTTAAATCCTGGGCTTCATCTGCAACTTTGAATGCCTATATTAGCCACCTTAGTTCGAACTAGGGTGGCAGTGTAGACATACCCTGAGTCCTTCCTACTGCTGGGGTTGGGAACGGTGAGGCTCCCCCAGGGATGGGGGTCTAGGGAACATGGTAACAGCAGAGCCCAGCCAGTGCCTGTCACTGCCGATGCCTGAGAGGGAGCAAGGACAGGCCGTTGGGCAGCAGCTGTCAAGGTGACACCCCCGGGGGAGGGGTCAGGAGGACAGGTGGAGGGGGCAGTGGGTTTCCACCTGCAGTTTCCCCACCAGAGGCAGTGGGGGTATGTCTACACTACCCCGCTAGTTCGAACTAGCGGGGTAATGTAGGCATACCGCACTTGCAAATGAAGCCCGGGATTTGAATTTCCCGGGCTTCATTTGCATAAGCCGGCCGGCGCCATTTTTAAATGCCGGCTTGTTCGAACCCCGTGCCGCGCGGCTACACGCGGCACGGG